CTAACGGCTTTAACTAATCTCACATACAGAAAACGAGTCTCTGTAGCGACGACACTGTTAATGTAAATTTATACTTAATGAAAGGATACGCAGTTGGATCGAAGCGAGGAATATTTACTAAATTAAAAAGAAAACACAAATCATTAACTTTCTAGGAAATACATGGACCAAAAAATCGCATACCACTCTATCACAGTTTACAGTACCTGCAGGCGAGGGGCTGCGTGTTCGTCGTCTTGTCTGTGGAGTAACTTTACGTTCTTGTGAAGTTACACGTCTGGGGATGTAATTCGTCTTTTTAGCAGATGATGTTCTCGAAACAGATCCAGCAGAAGGCGACTGTCTGATCTTCGCACTAAAGTTATAAGAAGAAGAATTATTCACCTGAAGAATTATTCACCTGAAGAATTATTCACCAGGAAATTCGTTTGAACGAAGATTTGCTATTGAAATTTTGAAGGAAACCTTAACATCCATGTCCCACTATGGGCGCAACAACATATGGTTGACAGACATTATTCCTTCAATTTAAAACCATGGTCAGCTAGAACACTATATGTTTAGGTACATGCAGATTTAGCACAAAAATACTCTGTTGGTCAGCAGGAAATTTTTGTCTCCAGTTTGTTCTCCCAGGAAGAAAATTATTTTCCCTGCCCTGCTGAGATGGCCTGAAGGACTGCGTTAATAATGTCTCTCCAAAAATCAGGAATCCATTGGGTAACATAGTTAAAATGTAGCAGTGTGTGTAGGTTTTGAACAAAACTGCTATAAACTGCAAAAATGCTATAATTTAATTTCGTATTATTGTTGGACGTATCCACTAACCCCTGTCGTTTCAACATCGCCAGTTCATTCGTAAGATTCCTGCATCGCGCTCGTAAATTTCGTTCATTTGCGCGAGCTTCTTTCAGCTAGACAATAGAAAAAGTAAATACAGAAAATAAGAAAGTGATATCTAGCCTCATCTGCAGGGAGGGGTGTACAGTAGGTTTTCCATGGGCCATGGGGTAGTGCAAATCTGCATGATGTTCGCCGTTCTTTTGTTAGTAAAGTTTATATATCCGCTTTTTACCACGTATGCGTGACTGGACAGTTGCTGTAGCACAGTACAGTAAATTCTTGTTAAAGTACAGTATATTTGAAAATATGCCTCTACAACAACATCGACATGTTTACATATCTAATCATGATATTTAACAAAAGCATTTCGAGTATTTTCTCGTGAGCTCACAAATGAATTAAATCATTTCAAGAAATCGACACGCGCTAACAGTTGAAGTTCCACTGATCGCTATTGGAAAAGCAGAAAATGTATGGTCAAGCAGATTTTTTAGGATGGTACTGGACTTCTCTATGGGGGGGGGGG